ACACCCCCCCCCCCCCCCGCACCACCAGGCCACACAAGGCATGCACGTGCGTGCACACGCACGCATGCACACCACAGCCCCGCTCCTCACAGACCCAGCCCTGAGGCCAACGGTCTGCCTTCAGGAAGGGGGGCCCTCCACTCCCTCCCACTCCCTCCCCCTCCCTCCCCCAGACCCATCGCTACAGGAAGCCTCCTCTACCCTTCCAGGGAGACCCGGAGGCCAGGCCGAGCCTCAAGAGTGCTGCGAGCATCAGGTGGACGGAGGGTGGGTGGAGTGTGCACTGGGGGTGCTGTGCCGGAGGCTGTGTGCTCCACGCCCCCCTCATCCCCTGCCTGCGGGCTCCTGCCGGACACTGCCCCGGGCCCCCGCGAGCTCCTACCATGGCGAAGCCCACATCGGCCTTCTTGAGCGCGGGTCCGTCGTTGGTGCCGTCCCCCGTCACGGCCACCACCTGCCGCTGCTCCGTGTGTGTGCTGTCGATGATGCCTGCGGGTGGGGTGAGCACGCACTGAGGGCCCTGGGACTCCCGGCGGGCCGGGGGCAGCCTGCTCGCTGGTCCCTGCCCTGCCACGCGGTCCCGTCAAGCTTCTTCCCAGCACCTGCAGGGGGCGTGGGGCCAGCTGCGGCCCTCTGCGGCCTGGGCCTGTCGCCTCTCCAGCATCCTCTTTGCTTTCTGCAGCCCGTGGCCACAGTGGCAGCCACCCTGGCCGGACGCATCTCCCCTCTGCCTATACCCCAGGGGTCCCTCTGTCCTCCTGGGGCACCAGGGTTTGGCCGGGGCGGGGCCTACTACCTGCTCCCTCAGCACCTTCTGCCTGGGGGTGGGGCGGGCGGTGTCAGTCACCCCGGGGAGGCCTGGGCTCTGCCGTTTGCCAATGACTGCTCTCCAGACGTTCATCCTCAGTAAAATCTTCAGCAAATAACAGAGTGAACAGATGACACACGGCCCCTGTCACTGCTCTGGGGCCAGTAGAAAAGGATGCGTGACAGAAGTCGTCACTGGGTGTGTGTGGAGTTTGCGGGGCCCCAAGCAGAGACATCCATGGCAGGACGGAGACTCGGGTAACAACCTTGATACATCCCTGTCCCATTCCGCACATCAGATGCGTCACTGTGTCTGCGGGTCCTACAGCCCCGAAGCCCCACTGGGATCCTTACCCTCCCCTCTGCCACCCCACATGCAGCGCCTCCACTCCCCCTCTCCCTAACACCAGGCTCCCCTCCAATCTTCACAGCAGCCCCAGGGCCTTTCTCTCTGACACCTGAGTCTGAGCCCGGCCCCCAGCACCAGCTGAGAGTCATACTCTCACTGCCCTCGGCCTCACGATGACGCCGAGTTCTCGGCTCTACCCACTTGGTCCTCTGTGGTCACACCCCGCCCATTCTCTGATCTCTTCCCTCCCCCAGCCTCCCCCAGCCTGTGCTTCTGCCACGGGAACGGCTCTCTGTCCCATGCAGCTGGCCACCTGCCCATCTTTGCACAGGCTGTTCCCTGGGCCAGCCGTCCCCGTCACCCAGTCACCCGATCTCAGCCTGGATACTGCTTTCCCTGGGAAGCCTTTGTGACACCCTGAGGACCCCCGCCCATCCTAATCAGGTCACTGTAGCTCGCACATGTGTGTACTGCAATTGGCAAACCGCAGCAGCCTCTGGAAGGAGGGAATGAGTTCCCTGACCTGGGGCACTGTACCCCCAGACCCTGTCTCCCCCCAGCTCCCTGCAAGGGTCAAAGCTCCACCCTCTTCAAGGTCTGGCTTCAGGACATGTGCACCGGAAGTCCTCCTGGCCGCTCCCCCAAGCTGTTCTGCTGCCCCGGATTATCCAATCTCTGTGCACTTGGCATTTGAGGCCTTCACCCCGCCGGTTCCCTGGGCCCTCCTGGGTCCTTCTCCGAGGCAAGGAGGGGGCCAGTTTTCCCCTGTGGCTCCCCAGGCTGGCCCAGCTCTCCTACGGCTCCCGACAGAGGGGGAGCTGCAAGAGCTCCTTCCCCCAGACCCTCTTTCCTCCACCACCAGTGCTGACACGCCCCGCAGTGCACGGTCCCCAGGGACCTCCCTGTGGCCGACTCCTATGGTTCCTGTCCTATCTCTGGACCTCTCAGCAGCCATTCACACCGTGGACCACGCCTTCCCCCGCAGCAGGCCTCCTTCCTCGGCCTGCTTGTCCCCCGACCCCTCCGGCTGTCTCTTCTTGGTGACAGACCCGCTGACAGGTCTCAGCCTCTGCTCACCGCTCAGGTGGGAGGTTCCTGGGTCCAGCAGCTCCTCTGCTTACCCCCACTAGTCACACCCCACCTACGTCTTCATCGGGGGCCAGCTCTCTCTCCTGAGCCCTGACTCCATGGACATCTCTACTTGGATGTCAGAGGGCCTCCAGCTCGGCCTCCTAAAGCAAGTGCATCAGTTTCCCCTCAGATTGGTCCCTTGTGCGACTCCTGACACCTAGCTGCCCCCTTGTAAACTGTGCAGCAGGCTCTCAAGCAGGTATAGACTGAGCAATCCTGGACTCCCCTCTCCCCCACCCCTCCACCCCATCTGAACAAACGCCGGGCCTAGGCCCTTCCTGCCCACAAAGAGTTCTCAGATCCGTCCCCTTCCAGTGCACCTGCACTGTCATCACCCCTGCCCAGGTGTCACCGCTCACAGCTGGACAGTCCTGGCGGGCCCTCTGCTTCCAGGCCACTCTCCACACAGCAGCAGGGAGGGCGCTTTCCCCTTCAAGGTCCTCCCTCGGCTCCCCACCTGGGCTAACTGTGCAGGTCACCGCTTGGCGTTCAAGGCCCTATGTGATCTGATGCTGGCACCCCCTTCTCTGGCCTCCTCCTCTTCGAGGATAAGATATTACAAGGTTAACTCTTCCTTTTAGTACTTCTCTTTCTCTCTCTCTCTTTCCCATATTTAATCTCTCCCCCTCCATCTGTCTCCCTTCTCCTCTCTCTCTCTCTCTCTCTCTCTCTCTCTCTCTCTCTCTCTCTCTCTCTCTCTCTCGAGGCTCCAGCCCAGCCAACTGAACTTCTTTCAAGTCCTTGAAAGTGCCTGGAAATCTCTGCCTCTGGCCTTTCATAGTGTAGTTCCCTGTCCTGCCTGAAACACAGGCCCTTCCCCCTGGCCCCCCATCCCACCTTCCACAGCCTGCAATATGACACCCTCCCCAGCTCGAGTTAGAGGCCAGCAGAGGGCCCAGATCACCCTTCTCTCCCACCAGTGCAGCCTTTAGCGCTACGTAGGGAAACCACCTATTCAATGTCTGCTGGATAAAACCTGGACCATAAATTCCAAGACGGGAGGACCTCGTTGGCCAAGACCTGGGCCTGGCACATACTAGATCCTCAGTAAACATTTATCAAGAGAATGAATGAATGAATGAGTGCATGATTGAATAGGAAATGGGGATGGGTTGGGGGTGGTCTCCTGCTTGGGTATCTGCGGTTCTGGGGTTTTGTGTTTCTGTTCCAAGGCCAGATCTGCCTTCCTTAATGTCTTTGGGCAGCACCTTTAGGAGAGGAATCCAAGATGCCCTAGGGATGACCTCAGCCAGAAACCTTCCCCCTATGGCCATTTTACAGATGGAAAAATTGAGCCCTGGGGCTGGGCACTTGCCCAAGGTCACAGAGCAGGGCAGGGGCAGAGTCTGGATTTAAACCCAGGCCTATGGGACTCTGAAAGTGCCCAGCATCTGACCAGCTAGATGAGCTCAGCGAGGGGCGTGCCCTCTCCCCGGAGGGACTCAGGGAAGGATGCTGGGTTTTGGCTCATTCCTCAGATTGCTATTCCCGGGACAGCCCATTCCCGGCATCCTGGTTACACACGGCAGATAGCATCCTTAGAGAACAGGCAGACCAAGGGTCTCACACTCACAAGTTCTGGGGCCAGACTGAGAACATAAGTAAATGAAATGGGCGGAGTGTCAGACAACAGTGGTTAAGACGGCATCAAATGGGAGCAAGCAGGGTCTGTATAAAGTCGTTCAACCTGAACATTGAAAAAGACACACCACCCAGATAAACTTGTCTGTGGGCCCCATTCAGCCCTCAGGCCATGAGTTCTGGCCCCTGGATAGGCAATCCCATTGCTGCCCATGGGAGGTGGGGCCCAGGGAGCAGATTCACCGCCTCCTTATTTCACTGTGGCCCTTAGCAGGCCTCCCAGGGCGTCCCCAGGTGCGGGGAGCCCCAGGCAGGAGCCCCTCCCATCCTGGAAAGAAGCTGAAGGCGCCAGGACAGGAAGGCCCGGGGAGGCCTGGCGCCTGGGCCTCAGAGCTGCCCGTGCCCGCCCAAGTCTTACCTTTGACCAGGGTATGCTTGTCCGTGGGGGAGGAGCGAGCCAGCACCCGCAGCTTTGGCCAGATCTTGTCGATTCGTTCCTGCTCAATCTGGAGACGGATGGGGGAGGGGCGGGTCGGTGGGGCGGGGAGAGAAACTGAGGCCCAGAGAAGGGAGGGGACTTGTCTCGATCACTGGGCTCTGAGTGGCACACTGGCTGGCTGCTGGAGCTTCATGCATGCCCGTGCCTCCCCGCTCCCCATCCAAAGCCCTGCCCTCTGAGGACCCTCTGCACTGGGCCACATACCTCCCCTTTCTCATTGCGGATTCTCCGGTTGAACTCCTTGCCCTCAAGGCACAGGAAGTCCTCCCCAGGATGGATGATGCCACACTTGATGGCGATGGCCCGGGCTGTGTTGATATTGTCACCGGTGACCATGCGGACAGTGATGCCTGCTCGCTGGCACTTGCGGATGGCTTCCGGGACCTGGGTGGGAGGGCACGTGCCATGGAGTGGACATTGTCTCGTGCAGGCCCTCCCTGCCCTCACGGATTCCAGAGTGAGCCCTGCTCACAGGCAACGCCACTGTAAGGGGCCTGGATGACCAGGAGGTACTGATGGCACACAGACCATCTCCTCCTTTCCTGTGCCCATGGTAGGCATTGTTAATCGATCATAGCACCCTCTGATGAAACCCTGATGTGGTCTCACAATTCTTTTCTGCAGTGTCCCAGAAAGCCACCAACTATCACCCAAGATACTTCATCCTAAGATGAAACCATTGGCTATCCTGACCTGGACAAGGACTTTGAGAAAGACCACAATAAACATCCTCTTGGATATGGCCCCAGGCAAGAGTACAGAACACTCCACTGCTGAACAGGATCATGTCCCTGCTTCATCTACATGCACATTTCCTACAAACTCAATGATAAATATGTTTGTGTGTTTTCAGTTTTTTGCCAGGGGGGCGGGCAGGGGAAGGACATTGCATTTTAGGATAATTTATTTATATAATGTGACATTGGCTTAGAATAAATTCGGATGATTAGGCTTTGTGTAAAACATGACATCTCCCTGCGAGAGTAAGGGCTGCCTACTGCCCTCTTTGTAATAATAGACTGACATCTGGGCCATTTAGGCCAGAGCAGACCCAGCCAATCAGAAGCTGTCCCCGCCTCCCACCTTTGCAGGGCGCTGGATCTGCCCAGCAATTAGGATGCAAAAACCAGCCTGGAACCTAAAAAAAAAAAGGTTCTGAAGAACCTAGGGGCAGGACAGGAATAAAGACACAGATGTAGAGGATGGACTTGAGGACACGGGGAGGGGGAAGGGTAAGCTGGGACGAAGTGAGAGGGTGGCATGGACATATATACACTACCAAATGTAAAATAGATAGCTAGTGGGAAGCAGCCGCATAGCGCGGGGAGATCAGCTCGGTGCTTTGTGACCACCTAGAGGGGTGGGATAGGGAGGGTGGGAGGGAGGGAGACGCAAGAGGGAGGGGGATATATGTATACGTATAGCTGATTCCCTTTGTTATACAGCACAAACTAACACACCATTGTAAAGTAATTATACTCCAACAAAGATGTTAAAACAAAACAAAACAAAAAACCAGCCTGGAGCTGCCATGGCCCTTCACACACAGCACAGATCAACTGAACAAGTGATTCTGACCCAGTGACAAATAACAAAATAATAAGGCAATATTTGCTGTAAAATGTCCTTCAGTGGGAGAGGACACGTCAAGGGCAGAAAATCCAGTTGTACTAAAAGTACTTTAGAATCTCAGACCTGGTGGGAAGGGGGGCCTGAATCCACCTCTCCTCTTCCATATCCTGGGGTCTGAGAACTCACTTCCACCCCGACCCTGACAAGTCACTGCTGAGAGAGTTTAAAGGTGTCCTGGGCTGAATTGTGTCGTTTCCCCACCCCTTCCCCTCCCCCACCCCAGAAAGCTCTTCACATCCAGTACCTCAGAATGTGACCTTCCTTGGAGACAGGCTCTTTATAGAGGTAATCAAGTTAAGATGAGGCCATTAGGGTGGGCCTGCATCCAATGTGACTGGTGTCCTCATAAAGAGGGGAAATCTGGACAGAAACACACAGGGAAGACATCATCATGGGAAGAGGAAGGGACAGATCTGGGCGACGCTGCTTCGTGCTAGCAGGGCTGAAGACTGCCAGCTTGTCACTGCAAGCTAGGGGAGAGGCCTGCGGCCGAGCCTCCCTCACAGCCCTCAGAAGGAACCAACCCTGCCGACACCTCGATCTCAGACTTCCAGCCTCCAGAACCGGGAGACAATGCAATTCTGCCGTTGGTGGTACTCTGTAACGGCAGCCCTAGCAAAGAGTACAAAGAGTTAGAACGCTGGTCCAAAACCTGACTGCGGACAACTTATGCCCACCGGTCCCTTTCTGCGCTCAGGAATTTTAAGAACAAGAACTGACACTGAAAGTATCTTGCCTCTATCCACATCCCGTCCACACCACCATCTCAGGCAGAGGTCACTGCCCAGCCCCTTCCCAGTCTCCCTGCCTCTGGCCCCGCCTCTTCCATCTTGCCCCTACCCTGACCAGCAGCTACCTGCCCCAGGTTTAGCCTGTGTGCCGCTCCCTTTCTGGGCCTCCACCCCGCCGCTGGTAGAGAAAATCCCAACTCCTGAGCACGGCCCTCCTGCGGTGGAGTGAGAAACAAATGCCGGGCACAGGTTGGGGGAGGCCCCTCCAGCTCCCTGAGTTCTCTAACAGGCCGGCTCTGTGGTGGCAGGCAGTGATCTCCCTGTTGTTGAAGGGCTGGAGCGGGGCGAGCTGATCATGGGCCTCCTCTCAGTGTATTTCCAGAGTCTGGGGAGGAGCCTTCTGGGGCCTACTCAGGGCTTGGGGCCACGTGAGCAAGGCTTCTGCCTCGTGCCATGGCGGCTGCTCACATAACCAAACGTGGCCTCCTTTTATAGAGCGGGAGAGTGGGGATGTGGAAGGTCCAGGATCCCGTTTACATAATTTATCAAAGTCCTCACAACGGCTGTAACCTGGCTGCAGCCCCCTGCTATCTGCTGCCCCAGGGGACAGGAAAGAGCCGCTGTTCTTTTGGGAACACACACCTCATCTGGCTCCTGCCCTGAAAGGAATAATTTAGGTTATGCTTGTTTAAAAGATGCTTGGAGTTGGAAGGGACTCTGGGTCGTGACTCTGACCCTCTGCTCATTGCCTAGATCTCCTCCCACGCATCCCTGACAGATGGTCAGAGAGCCTCTACTTACTTGCCTCTGTTGACAAGGTGCTCATCCCCTCTACGGTTGACTGCTCTAAGGTAGAACAAGTCTATTGTATCCTTTCACATAATCTTTTTCCGTTTTTAAAAAATGAATTTATTTTTGGCTGCGTTGGGCCTTCATTGCTGCGTGCAGGCTTTCTCTAGTTGTGGTGAGCGTGGGCTACTCTTCGTTGCAGCGCACGGGCTTCTCATTGTGGTGGCTTCCTTTGTTGCGGGGCACAGGCTCTAGGTGCGCGGGCTTCAGCAGTTGTGGCACACGGGCTCAGGAGTTGTGGCACGTGGGCTCTAGAGCGCAGGCTCGGTAGCTGTGGCGCACGGGTTTAGTTGCTCCGCGGCATGTGGGATCTTCCCGGACCAGGGCTCGAACCCGTGTCCCCTGCATTGGCAGGTGGATTCTTAACCACTGCACCACCAGGGAAGTCCCCCTTTCACATAATCGTCCTTTTTTCGGATAAGAGAGCAGTTACTTTGGGTCAGACCCATTCTCTTGTACAGAGACAGGGTCTTTGGTAAAGATGTGTACAAAGAGTTCTGGGAGCACAGCGGAGCACAATGTTACTTCAGAAGGAAGTGTGTGGGGAGAAGAAACCTGTGGGAGCTTCCTGGAGGAGGGGATACTTGATCTGCTTCTTTTCAGCCAACACTAACTGAGGCTCTGATGCCTGGCACTGTGCCCATGCTGGGGCTGCAGAGATGACCAGTTCATTGTGGTCCTGGCTGCAGACAACTGTCCCATGAGGTACACAGAGAAGGGGAGGGCACTGCAGACAGTGCTGTGGGTGATCTGGGTGGCTGAGGCCAAGGGAAGATGTGGGGTAGGGGCCGGTGGCCATGGTGCTGGAGAGGGGCTTCGGGTCCAAAGATGTGGGAGTCAGGGCCTTGTTCCTTCAGGCCTGGGAGGCATGGCAAGTTCTGAACTGGGAGTGAGGTGATGGGTGCCATGTTTTAGGAAGACTTCTGTTTTCAAGACTGTCTCAAGAAGCTGAAATCTGCCTGCTTGGAATCCCTACCCTCTGGGTTTCCACTGAACAAGCCAGACTGGGAAAAAAGGAGGAGGCTAATTTTTATGGTCCCCACACTTTACTCTGTGCAGTGGAAGTGTCTCTGCCCTGTGGAGAGAGGGCTCAGGGGCCAAAAGGCTGGGCTGGGCTTTGCCCTGGGCTCCCACCTAAGCCTTGGTTTCCTCATCTGTAAAATGGAGTGATAGCCTCCGCCCTTCACTGAGGCTGGAGAATTCTGTGACAGCAGCAAAGGTCACCAAGCTCAGGGTCAGCACACGTTGGTGATGTGTGGGTGGAGGAGGCTGGCAAGACGCTTGACCCCGGGCTCCCTTGTTTGCTCTTTCCACTTCAGGGTGGGTACAGGGACACAGAGGAAGGATACAGATGCAGGGTGTGGGATGGGGGTGCAGTGGGCATCTAGAGCACTTGGAGGCGCAGGTGTCTGGGGCGGTGGGATGGGTTGGGCTCCCCACCACGATCCTTGGATCAGGTATATTAAGGGCCTGTGACCTGTCTTGAAGGTGTGGGGGGGATTCGGGACAGATCTGGAAACACCGGAGGAGCCTCCCCTGGCCACCACGAGTTATTCCACTTCCTTTATAGGCAATGGGCCCCTAACTGGACGTCCTTGTCACGCTTCAGTCCTGCCCGGTTTTACACTCTGGAAGGTTTTACACCTTCGTTTCACTGGGCTGTGGGTCTGGAGGGCAGGGGCTGCCAGCTGCTCAGAACTCTCTCAGGGGCCTCGTGCAGGGTAGGTGCTTGGTCAGTGTGGGTCACTGTGAAACACCTTTGTGCTTAAGTCCCTCGAAGCCTGACCCGGGTGAATGGATTTGGACGGGCACATGCAAACCCTCTACAGTTTGGCTCCAAGCTCCCTTCCCTCCCTTCCTTTTCTCTCATAAACCCAGCTAGGGTTTTCACTAGTCCCCAAACACGTAGCATCCCTCTCTACCTCTGTGCTTTTTTGCCTGTGCTGTCCCCTCTGCCTGTGCTGTCCCCTCTGCCTGGGATGCCCTCTCTCCCTGGGATGCCCTCTCTCCCTGAATCTGTGTGACACAAATCTTTCCCATCTTGCACGTGAAATCCTCTCTGTTCAGCAAGCTATCCTTGGTCCCTCCAACCCAGTGGGACACCTCCTGCAGCTGCTCAGCCCTTCCTTTTATCGCTTCACTCACTCATTTATGCAACGAACAGCTATGGAACATCTAACTGTTCCGGGCAGGGAGGGTGCAGAGAGGACGAAGACCCGAGCCCCAGAGGCATTGATCTGGTTGAAATGTGCTTTCCCCATAGATAAAATAGCTGTTAAAAAAAGATTCCTTCTTTTGCTAAAATTATCCTAGATATTTCTCACTGAGGAAAACCAGCCAGGAAATGGGTGCTTCCTGTTTTCATTAAATAAAGGCTTTTAAACATCTGTTGTTTGTGGTGACAGCAGTTGTCTGTGACATCGAGGGTTCCAAACACCCCCAGATAACCCGGCAAATCCCAGGCCGCTGCTCTCCTGATGGCTTCATCCTCACTGGCTCCCATCAGACTTGGAAAAACGCACCACTGTAGCATCTTGGGGGAGGGGGGATTTGCAACCCTGTTTTTATCTGTTCTGTCCTTTGTCTTCTCAAGGGAGGAAGGGAATAGGAGCTTCTCTCCCTTGACAGACGGGGAAACTGAGGGAGGGAGGCCGAGTTTCTTTTCCTGCAGCAAATGAATCTGACCAGGCTTGTGGGACCCTAGAGGCGGTCTGGGTGGGGATTTTTTCTCTGGCCGGCCTCACGGTTGTCCTGGCAACATACACACACATGCTCACCAGAGGCAGGGACCCTCTCCAAAGGTCACCCGAGAAACTGGTGACTGTGGCTGCCTCGGAGGCGGTCACTGGGGTCTGGTGGTGGCATGGGGGGCTATTTCACCCTGTTTGTGCTATCGAACCTTTTGAATTTGGCGATGATATATCACCAAGCCTAAAACAAACGAACAAATCAAAAACCATACCTGCCTGTCTCCTGAGGCTCTGGGTCCACCCCCACTCCACGGGAGATGCTGAGTCAACAGGTCAGAGCTTTAACACTTTCTTTTTTTTTTTCTTTTTTCCCCTGTGCCACGCAGCATGCGGGGATCTTAGTTCCCTGACCAGGGATAGAACCCATGCCCCCTGCAGTGGAAGCCCGGAGTCCTAACCACTGGACCGCCAGGGAAGTCCCTGAGCTTTCATACTTTCAGGCAGCATCACCAGTAACTCCACTGTGCCCCTCACTTGTTGACGTCCAACTTTCTTATTGTTCAGATGGAAAAACTGAGGCCCGGGGCAGTGATACGCCGGAGGTCTTCTGTGAAGGAGCGGCAGGGGCGGGATGAGAACCCATGTCCCTAGACTGCTGTGTCCCTCCAGTACGTCCCTGCCCTCCAACACAGTTACAGCTTCCAAATCCACATCCCGGGGTGAGCCCAGGGGAGAGAGAAGGTCACCCACAGGGATGTGTTGACGGAGGGAAGCAAAGAAAGGCATGAGAGTAAGCCTCCCAGGCAGCTGGCTCAGAACCTTAGAGCTGGATGGGACCTGAGGGGCCCCCAGGCCGACCACCCATTTTACAGATGAGGGGACTGAGGCACAGAGAGGAGAAGTGGTTTGTTAGTGGCAGAGCTGGGGTTGGAACCAGGCCCCCTTTCTCCGACATAGGCTGAACGTGTTCCCAGCCCTGCTGTTTTAGGCTCGGGGTGGGAGTGAGGAGGCATGTGTGTGTGTGTGTGTGCATGTGTGTAGAATACTATAATTGTCCCTAGTCTTCAGATGAGGAAATGGAGGCTCAGAGAGGTTATGTAACTGGCCCAAGGTCACACAGCTCGTAATGCCAAGGGACTCAAAATCCCAGGTCTATCTTATGCCCGAACTCACACTTTTTTTTTTTTTTTTCTTGCGTTATGCGGGCCTCTCACTGTTGTGGCCTCTCCCATTTGCGGAGCACAGGCTCCGGACGCGCAGGCTCAGCAGCCATGGCTCACGGGCCCAGCCGCTCCGCGGCATGTGGGATCTTCCCGAAACGGGGCACGAACCCGCGTCTCCTGCATCGGCAGGCGGACTCTCAAGCACTGCGCCACCAGGGAAGCCCTCGAACTCACACTTTTGACCCCTCTCCCTGCTGCCTAAATGTGAAAGTCCACGTCTGTGACCTTCAAGTTTCTCTTAGCCTTTGGAATGCACAGTCTTAAAACAGCGGGGCCAGGAGCTTGGAGGGCATCTTGCCTGCTCCCTTTCACTTGAAAGAAGGGGACATGGAGGCTCCAGGAGGAGCAGGGAACAGCCAGAGGCCCCAGAGGACGGTGTCAGGGTAAGCGGGGGACACTGAAGTTGCCCTTGGTGGAGGAAGGCGGCCCTGAGACAGGCTGGGACCCGCAACCGTTTGCTGCAGTGCTTACACCTGGACAGACGTCTCCTCAAGCAACGACATACAAAGAAACTATAAGCGACCAAAAATAACCGCGTGCATGCCCAGTTGGGGCAAATTATAGACAACAAGATACAAAAAAGACCAAAAGAACGCAACTGCCACTTCCCAAGAGTCGGGAGCAAAAGCAGGGTACTGGGCATGCCCTCTGCACACAGCACCACCAAAGGGGTGGGCAGACCACCTAAGCCCCCCGCTCGGCTCGACCCCTGGACACGCCCCTACCGTCACCCCATAGAAGGGACCAAGAGCAAAGGAACCTGGTACTTGTTCTCACTCCCCCCTGCTGCAGCAGGAGCCCCAATAAAGCCTTGCTTGAATTTTTTGTATGGCCTCCTATCAATTTCTATTGATTAAGGGGGCCAAGAATCCTGGTCAGAAACAGTCCCAAGGGGCAGCATCACCAAATCCCACTGCCAAGGCCAATCTGGCCCCAGCAGCATTAGTCCTCGAGGAAGAGGAGCCCAGCCCCTCCTGTGCCTTGCCTCCCGGGCTCCCAGGGTGAGCGAGCTTGCTCTGCCTGCCCACAGCAGCATTTCGGAGATTCCAGGCAGCTCTCTCCTCTTCCCACACCCTCTTCCCAGCCTGGGCAGCTCGACCGACCACGCGCGTCCCATCCTTCCCCAACCCTGCAAATTCCCGGCACTGAATCCTTGGCCTTCCCCCCAGATGCAGATTCAGCTAAAGGAGACTGAAGACCCACTGTCATCTGAGCACCCCAGTAGGTGCACATATTACATCACTTTTCTGGATCTTTACGGGGAGGGGGTGCTGTCACCGGCCCCTTCCCTTCTGCTTGAGAATTTGACCTTTGGTTAACCTTCCAGCTCTGTTCCCCTGGAAACCTGATAGAGGCAGACTGCCTGCTGCATCACTAGGGAAGACTAACTGGTAAACTTGGTCTGGATGGGGAGAACTCTAAATGCTGATGGGGATGCCCACATTTGGGGACTTCTTGAGTGTGGTAACCTTTGTTATTGGGTGCCTCCTTTGCAGGGACCCTTGAATCTGGGCCTATGGATTTGTGACAGGAGATCCCGGCTCCTCTGAGGCTTCTAGGGCAGGGCAGCCTTCACGGTAGAGCAACGCCGGCTGGCAGGCTGTGGGTTGCACCCCATGTCCCAAGCAGGTAAGTGTGGCTACGCTAGCCTTAAGAGTCTGAATGTTTAGGAGTAGGTACAGAGAAGACTCCATGGGCCTTGCAGGGAAACTGAGGCTTAGAGGGGTGCGGCGACGTACGCCAGGTCACCCAGCAGGCTGGACGCCCAGCTTCAGCCCCTTCCCCAAGCTCCACGGCGGGGCACCTGCCTCGGGCCGCACGGGGTCCTCGATGCCCACCACGCAGATACAGGTGAGGTCGTTGAGTATGTCATTCTCGTTGTCCCAGTCGGGCTCGGGGCTGCCGGGTAAGTCGCGGTAAGCCACGCAGATGGTGCGGAGCCCGTCGCAGGCCATGGGCTCAATCACCTTCTTTACCATCTCATCCCGGTCGCGGGGCCGGAAGACCCGGGGCTCACCAGCCCCGTTGAGGATTTTGCAGCACCTGGGGGAGGTGGGAGGGGGCCGGGTAAGGTCCAGCCAAGGGCCCAAAGACCCTCCCTCCGACGGGCTCGGAGCTCACCCCCACCTCCCCAGTGACGGACGTCCCACTGGCCGCGGTTGGTCATCCAGGGCTCGTCCAGACCATCTCCCATAATGCTTCAGGGGTGGTCCTGGCCCCTGGGCCCCAGGCGGGGATGAAATCAGGACCAGCCAAAAAGAAATCAGGCGGCCTTGTTGTAATATCTGCCCCAGGCCATTTCAGCAAGAGCAGATCTACTTTGCTCTGTTTCATCTTCACAAGATTTCATCTGAAAAAAATAGTTCCACAGCGAAAATGGTTTTCAGAGGGCGTGAAACCTCCGCTCGTGGTTCCTGACCCTGCCTGTGCATCAGGATGGCTTGGGAAAGCACTGAATAACCCCACCCCCAACCCACTGCGGGGCCCCGCGCCAGAGGTTCCAATTCAGTTTGTTGGGGGCGAGTCCAGGAATCAGTGTTTTTTTTTTTTTTTTTAAAAGCTCCCTGGGGCGATTCTCTGTGTGACCAGGGTTGAGTCCCCCTCAAGGTACAAATGGGTAAACTGGGGCCCAGAGAGGGGGGCTGACTTGCTTAGTTCTCCAGGCTTACTTCTGGCACCTGGAGTCAGAGGACACCTGCTCACAGTGAAAAGTCACGCCGCCGTCTACCAACTCCACCCTCAGGTAAGTGACATGAGGGGGCTCCGACAGTGATAATGGGAAGAACTTCCGGATGAGCCAGTGACTTAGGGAGGAGAGGGAGGGCTCCCTGCAGAAACCTTTAAGAGGAAACGGTAGCAAAAGCCCCGGGGGGAGGGCACGTGCAGGCGGTCTTGCTGCGGGACGCCCGCACGGCCCTTCCTGAGACCCTGGGTGCCCCCGGCCCCTCCCCGCGGCCTGTGCCTGCGCCCCGCCCCCCGCTCCCGCACCGCTTACTTCTTGAGCACGATCTCCGAAGCGCCCTTGCTGTACATGCGGAAGCTCTCGTCGGGCAGCTTGATTACGGTGCTCATGGACTTGCGCACGGAGTTGAAGGTGTACACCTTGTACAGCTTTTCCTCCGGCATCTGGCCGCGCACAGACTCGTAGTCCTGCTTCAGGTCCAGCACGAAGCCCAGCAGGCCGCACTCTGTTTTGTTGCCCACCTGCTTGGGCAGGGCGCCCTCCTTCTCCGGGGGCTGCGGGGAGAGGCGGGGTGCTCACCGGGCTGCCGCTTGCCTGTGGGTGGGGCCACCCCTCCCCCCCGACCTCAGGCTTCTGCGTCCCAGACTCAATCCGGGCTCTGTTTGAAGGGAATTGAGCAAGATCAGATGTTTAAAAATTACGAACTGTGTCAAACATAAACCTGTGACCGAATGATTAAAAAAAATGTGTGCACAGACCCTCCAGCTCAGGAGAACCTTAGTTCTAGGCCATGTTTGCTTCAGATTTTTCTTTTTTAGGAAGTAAAGCCTAACAGAAAAGTTGAATCCCCCTATGTACCCCCCCCCCGCATCTGCATAACGCACCCCTTGTCCCAGAAAGAAACTCTAACTTAAATTTGGCATTAATCCTTGCCCTGTGTGTTTTAACTTTTTATTTCGAGATAGTGCTCGTTTCACAGGCAATAAGAAATAACCCAGAGAGATGTCATATATCCTTCATCCCGTTTCCCCCAGTGCTCACTTCCTGTATGACTGTAGCACAATGTCACAACGAAGATGTTGACACTGATATAATCTAACTCACTGGATTCACATTTCACCAGTTTCAGTGTGCTCCTGTGTGTGTGTGTGTGTGTGTGTGTGTGTGTGTGTGTGTGTTTAGTTCTGAGCACCACACGTGCGTATACACACTCAGACCACTGGTATAAAATTAATGTGCAGCGACTCAGGTGGAGCTGGCTTTGGGAGTGGTAAAAGCCACCACAGATAAACCCAAACCCCAGAGAGATACTGAAGAGGAATAATACCTATGAGCATTCTGTGTCCCCCGACCCCACCATGAGTGGCTCTTTGTGGGTCTCAGACCAGCCTTGCACAGGAACCCTTCGTGTTGTTCCAAAGAGCAGCAGGCAAGAAGAAGACGGAGTCTAGAAGATGCTGCACGGACTGGCTGTGCGGGGGGGGCAGGATGGCAATAGGACATGTCCCTGGCCAACTGCCCCATCCACAGTTAGGACTCGGGCCCCGGGAGCAGACCCAAACCCTGTCGGGTCATGGGCATTGACCTAGGCGTACATACCCTTAGACCCTAAGCTCTTGTCCTCAGTTTCCCCATCTGTAAAATGGAGAGGCTCTAGCAGATGATTTCTAGCTGAGAGAAAAATCAACCCACTCCTTCAAGTGGATGGTGGATGGTGGTGAAGGATGGTAGAAGAAGGCAGAGCTGCAGGTCGCTCAGAGGGGCTCTGGGGGCCGCGGGTCAAGCCTGAGAACGCCCTCCCTGCTCCACACCACGTTCAACTATGTCCAGGCATCATGGGCCTTGGAAGGCTCCCCATACCCAAGCTCTTCGGTGGGATTTGATCTGGAAGCAGAGGAATCTGACAGTTTCCCCTTTCTGATGTTTGGGAAAAGAAATTCTAAGCACGCCCCTTTGTCTCTGCAGTATACAGTTATGTTGTGCTTTTAAAATTTATATATTTATTTACTTATCATTTTTTTTTTTTACAATTTTATAATTAACCTTCTGGTGATTTCCAGCGCTTTATGTATCTTCCACAATAGTTTTTTCCCCTCCACTAATGAAAGAAGATGATGACACGGAGGACTGAAATAAAAATGCCTAATTACTTATTTGCCCAAGAGAGCTAAGCAGTTATGCCTGTGAAACAGGCAGCATTTTATTACCCTCTGTGAGATATTTTAATTTTCCCCTAAAAGGATTTCAAAGAATCTATGGTTGCAAATGGCAGAGCTGCCTCCTCCGTAATTCAATTTGTTACCATGAACTTGAGCTCTAAAATCGCCTACGTGCATTATTAAGAAGTAGGGACTCGCCCCTTTTTTCTTTTGGCTTTTTTTATCTTGACAAACCCAGAGGTTTTACTAGTGCCGTAGACTTTCCATGCGGCTTGCTCTCCAGGGCTCTAATTCTGTAAGGGAGTTAAGGCGTTGGTTTTGAGGGGCAGGAAGCAGGCCTGGGGGGAAGTGATTTGCTCCTCATCACAGACCTGCAGCGGGGCAGGCCTGAGGCTACCCCCAATTCCCCTGATTCCTAGTGCCACACTGTATCCAGCACATTTCCCTGTATGGGCACTAAGCCCTTTGGGAGTGCTGGGTGCAGCTATGGGTGTAACTTTGAGAGGACAATTCGTGCTCCTGTTTTGGGATGCTTGTGGGTCACTAGAGGTAAGACCAAGGAATGATGACTTGAAGAGTGACAAGTTATAAATAACATCTACAAAAATGAGATGAAAAGAAACATAGCTAGCAGGTACTGCCTCACACTCATGAGGATGGCCATTATCCAAAACGAAACAGAAAACACGTGCTGGCGAGGATGTGGAGAAATTGGAACCCTTGTGCACTGTTGGTGGGAATGTAAAATGGTGCAGCTACTGTGGAAACCAGTGTGGAGGTTCCTCAAAAAACTGCACATAGAATTATCATATGATCCAGCAATTTTACTTCTGGGTATATACCCAACAGAATTGAAAGCAAGAGACTTGAGAAGATATTTGTACACCCGTGTTCACAGCAGGATTATTCACAGTAGCAAAAAGGTGGAAGCAACCCAAGTGTCCATTGACAGATGAATAGATAAGCAAAATGTGATCTACACATACAGTGGAATATTATTCAGCCTTAAAAAGGAAGGAAATTCTGACACATGTTACAACATGGATGAACCTTGAGGACATTATGCTAAGTGAAATAAGCCAGACAAAAAAGGACAGATACTGTGTGGTTCCACTTACACGAGATCCCTTGAGTAGTCAAATTTATAGACACAGAAAGTAGAAGGGTGGGCGCCAGGGGCTGGGGGAGAGGGGGGAGGAGTTAGTGTCTAATGGGGACAGAGCTGCAGCTGGGGAAGATGGAACGGTCTGGAGATGGGTGGTGGTGATGGTTGTACAATGTGAATGTACTTAATGACACTGAACTGTACACTAAAATGGCTAAGATGATAAATTTTAAGTTATGTGGATTTTATTACAATATTAAAAAATCCTCAACACCCCATCCTCCCTGTCCCCCCGAAACGCGGCAACCATGCCACGGTAAATCGCAGCAACTGCCATAGGATGACATTTGTGAGAGCACATTAGAAAATGACTTTTTGCTTGCTGGCTGTCTCTGGTGGCCCAGCCCACTCCACCTCCCCCCGTGAGGACAGGGACTGGCAGACGAGCCTCCCCGATGGACCATCAGGCAGCCTCGGCAGCTGCAGCAGTGACTTTGCTAGCTCTTTACCAAGCTCTGCACGTGTGTTCTCATTTGCATCCTCATGGCTCCCTAGGGGTTGGGCTGTTATTATTCCCATGTGCACAGGGAGACCTGGAGAGACCAGGTCACACAGCTAGTAAGTGGCCGAGCTAGGATTTGACCCCAGCTATTCTCAGCTCTGAGCCCACACAGCACGCGCTCTGCCAGCAGCCCTGCCTCTCTTCACTAGCATTTGAGATGGTTGTTTAACTAGGTAACTGGTGGGTGATTGGTTTAGAGCCCATGGTCGGGGGTTGGGGCGGGGGAGGGCTGTCTTGCTTATCTCTGCTTCCCACTTGGGGTAATCAATGAATATGCGTTGAATGAATAAATGAATAATTTGGTGTTTGTGGGTGTGGAGAGCTGCCAATGGGAGGCCAGGTGGGATGGGATTTTGCCAGAATTTTGGCCTCCAGAATTGTCATCTGAGGGTCTGCCTCCCCAGGAGCCTCTCAGGTGCTGGGCCTCGAGGAGCAGCAGGGGGCAGAATCATGGACTTTCCCCAGAGACTGCAAAGGCATAGGGCAGGGTGTGTGTCCTGAGCAGCTGGGACAGGCTGAAACGCCCTGGGGAGACACGCTGGAAAGCAGGTTTCCTGGGGACCTTCCCGAGCTTGCCAATGCACTGTGCATATGTGTGCATGTGGTTTGTGTGTGCTGTGTGTAGTGCAGTGTGTGGTATGTGCATGTGGCGTGTGTGTGTATATTTGTGCATACACCTGTGTGATTTGTGTGTAGAGTATGTGTGTGGTGAGTGCATGTGCTGTGTGTTTGTGGGGGGTGTGTGTGTGTGTGTGTGTGTGTGTGTGGTATAGTGTGTGTGTGGTATGCGCATGTGGTGTGTGTTTTGTGTCACGTGCACAGGGTGAGAAGGTGGGATATAGGGATTAACAGTGCTGTTAAAAATCAGAGTTCCCCATTCAGGGTTATGTGCTTTAAACTGTTCTCCTAGGGATGGTGTTTGCAAAAACAAACAAACAAACAAAACCAAACAGAACCAAAGCAGCTGCTGAATCCAACACAAAGGCCCCTGTCCCTTCACAGACCAGAACGAAGGGCCGCCCCACCTCCCCATCTTAATGCTCTGCTAAGCCACTTCCAGGGGCTTCTGTGCCTCCTGGAGCCCCTGTCTTGGCCAGAGCCCCTCGCAGAGCTGGCTTGACTCAGGGGGTTTGAGGTTCATTGGAATATTTAGTTGCACCCTGGGTTTGGAGCCAGATCTGAGTTCAAGGGCTGACTGCTTCCTAGAGTCACCTCCCCACTCTCCCCTCCTCTCAGGAGCTCTAGGGCTAAGATTTCTGAGAAATACAATCAAGCAGATCCTTCCTGCCCTTGGGGGTCACGGGGGCTCTCTGTGGATGAAGCCACCTCAGTTTGGGAATGGGGCAGACTGAAGACGTGGAGTTTCTAACTAGGTGAAGTTTGGCTCATTTATTCAGGAAAACCATCCTTGCAGGCAGATCCTCCCTGCTCCTTCCAGAACCACGTCAGGGACTCCAAGGAGATTTGTTTTTCTTTCAGTAGTTGATGTTTCCAGAACACACGCCATAAACTTCCAACAATTCGGCTCCACAAGTGCCCATCTTCATTTTAATAATTCAAATGTTAACTGTAGTGTCAACCTACGTTAAAAGAGGCCTCATAAAATATAAACTGAAAATCCGCTTGGGTGGTTTCAGCACACAGAATAAACGTGGGTAGAAAAGGAGAATGTTTTCCCAAGAAAGCTCCTCTAAAGTCTGAGGAGGAGCTATTTCCATTTGAAAGCTCAGCTGCAGCTCAAGAAGCAGCAGGGCTACAAGAAGAAGCTAGCAGAAGTCTTGACGTTCAAAGAGTCGGAGGCGACAAAGCAAATCTGAGGGTGTGCCAGGATTTCTGAGGTGGGGAAGCAATTTCTGACTACAAGATGATTCATGTGGCTTCCCTCAGAGGGCAAGTTTCGTTCCTAATGATTAGAAATAGGAGTGGAAAGAAGAAAGTTCTGCCATCCGCAGAAGGGATGGGGCATGGGGTTGAGGCTGGCCCTCTGACAGGGGCGTCCTGGGTCACTTTTTCTGGCCTTCCCGCTGGCAGCCTTGGCTCTCACACCACCCTCCACCCGTGCCTGGGTGGTTCTGAGCATTGTGATGAGAAAGCCTACTAAGGGCTTATCTGCTGCCACCCAACTCCCCCTCAGCCTTCCCAGCCTCGCCTCTCATCACTGTGGCCCTGGGAAATGTCCAGGCCACAGACTGCCACATCTCCTGAGAGGTCTCTGGGCTTTGGCAGGCTGTGGCCCTGCCTGGAATGACCTTGCTCCCTCACCCGCTTGGTAAACTCCTCCAGAATTCTCGGGCCTCAGCTCTGTCACCTGGTGTCAGGAGCAACCCTGGGCAGGTTACTCGATATTTCTGCAGCTCTGTTTTCTTAGCTGCAAGACGGGAATTGTCCTATTTGCCTTGATTACCTGGAAGGGATGTGGAGGGTCAAGCTAGACAGTGGCTGGCAAAGCAAACTACAGAAGGTAAGGCTCAGAAATAATAATAGAAGTAACACGAGTAACAACTGGAGCGGTCTGAGCGCTTGCTACATGTCAAGCACTGTGCTGACAGCCACACATACACCTTCTCATCTGATCTCAGAGCAGCCCTGGAACTGCCTCAAGGCAAAGGTGCAGCCAGAGGACTTGGAGAAGGAGTGGTGGTGAGCTGTGCAGGCTCTGGACTGGACAGACCTGGATGTGAACCCTGGCTCAGCCTCTCATCTCCCAGCATCAGTGTCCTTATCTATGAATTGGAGACGTGATGTCACCTACTTCAAGGGGTCCTCATACAAGGCAACATGGGTTACGCACTCAGCAATGAGCCTGGCTAAGTGAATATTAGTGATTATGATTCATTGTATACTCATTTTACAGATTGGAAAACAGAGGCTTGAAGAGGTTAGTTAACTTGCTCAGGGTCACATGGGTGGTAAGTGCTGCAGCTGAAGTTTGAATCTTGGTCTGTTGGACTTCAGAGCCAAAGCTCCTAACCTCTGCTTACTGGACTGGGTGTCAGGACATCTGGATTCTAACTCCACTAACCCACAGGGGGACTTGGCCCAAGTCCTCTCCCATTTCTGGGCCTCAGAGTAAAGTGAGGGGGCTGGACCAGGTGGTCCTTAAGGTCTGCGAATCCATGTAGATTATACCTACACAACCTACCCCTGCAAATACTCATCTAGGTTAAGAAAAAATCTTTTAGAATAACAGGCACTAGCTAATTTGGAAGTCTCTGGATCAATGCAGACTAGAGAGTTGAGGGCAGTTTCAGAAGAGATTTGCTCGGCATGCTGGAGGTACCAAGAGAGCACTGGTATTAGCCGTGGGACTGGGACCAAGGCCAACTCCTATTTCTTGCTGCCACAAGAATAGGAAAGTAGAACATAGAGGTAGCCCTGTCCTGAGCCTCTTATCAATTCATATTCATCCATCCACCACCCACATATTCATCCATCTGTCTACTCTTCCATTTACTCATCCATCCATGCCCCATCCATCTCTCCGTCCATGTCCCACCTATCCAGCCATCCATGCCCCACCCATGTCTCCATCCATGCCCCACCCATCCAGCCATCCATGGCCCACCCATCTCTCCGTCCATGCCCCACCCATCTCTCCATCCATGCCCCACCCACCCACCCATCCATGCCCCACCCATCCAGCCATCCCCCTCCCTACCTAGTCTTCATCTCACTGATACATATCTATAAATTTATTCACCAGTCAATTCACTGACCTCACCCGCCCAACCAGTACTTCCCAAGAGCCTGTGCTGGGGGGGAGCAGAGATAACTCAGCTGTGTCTCTCCCTCTCAAAGAGCACACAGCCTGCATCAGACTGCAAGAAGACACAGAAGAATCGGCACCCTCGTACAGGGGGAAATACAGCCTTGCCCATGGTCTGTTCCCCAGGCCAAGCTCATTTCCCAAGCAAAGCTTATGGGTAGTGTGGGGATATTGCGTGCCTTTCCTGCCCATCTCCTCTTGCATGGTAAGGATGTTTTGCAGTCTAGATTTCCCAGACTGGTCTGGAGGGTGGCTGGACTTCCACCCTCAACTGAGCAGCCTGTGACTCTTCTCAAAATTCCTCTAGGCCTAGAAGGGCAGTCCCTGGGAGCCCCTTCTCCCAATATGGCTGACAGTGAATCGGACCCTCTGGACTCCAGGCCTTCCTTCCTGAGACCAACCAATACTAAAGATGCTGCAGGATTGGTTTCAAGGACCAAGAACTGAATCTGGACACCCTACTCAATAGCTGGCTTTAGGGTATCTATAAGTTCGCTTTGCCACTAATTGGTTGTGTAAATTTGGGCAAGACCCTTTCCCTCTGTAGCCCTGATGCCTCTGCTGTCTATTTGTTTATTGATTAACCTCTGCCTGGTTACCAAGGGATGATTTTACTGCTGACGAACAACAACACTAATCACCCTGAGCGCTGAATATGTGCCAGGCCTTGTGCTAAGCACTTTCCACTTACTAACTCATTTCATACTCACAGTAATCCTATCATCTCCCCCAGGAAACTGAGGCACAGAGAGGTTAAGTATCTTGTTTACAGTCACACAGCTAGTGAGGGATTTGAACCCAGGCCGTCTGGCTCCAGAGTGTGAGCTTTAACTACCACCCAGACATACCAGGGGCCTCTGCTGTCCCTTCCACACTGACGGCCATCAGCCCCCAGCAAAGAGAACCGTGTGGCCAGGGTTCTTTCAGGGAAGCCCCAGAAAGAAAGGCACAAGGGTTCTAGGATGCCAGGGTTCAAGGCACAGAAGGGGACACTGGTGCCCGAGAGGTAAGTGACTTGGCCTGTTTACAAACCAAGGATCCCAGTTCCCAGGTCCTTGAGCTCTTTCCAGGCTTGGCAGATACACTTTTCTCCCAGGCGGACTGATGGACCCCTGTCCTTTAAGCCACCTGGATACAGCCTCAGTCAACGACATCTGGAAATGAATTTTAGCTTTGCCACCGGTGCTGTGAAGCACTGCCTAATTGAGCCTTATCGCTGCAAAGATGTTTCGCAGCCCTCCTGGCAGATCCAAGAACTCCTTTTTTACTGTAATTGCATAATATACATCTCAATTCAAGCCCATCTTGCAGGGCTCCGCCCACACAGCCACCCCCATCACCAGAAGCCTGTTCTGGGAACTGCCCCACTCCCCTCTCTGCGGGACGAGATCATTAACAGCATCTCAGTTATTTTAGGAAGGACTGGGGAACAGAATAAAGCATCGTCAACCTCCCTTGATTCCCAAATCGGGGCTAGGAGGTAGGGGATGGGGTGGGGTGGGGAGAAGACAAAAACGCCGTCTTTTCTGGCCTGCCCCCGCCCCGCGCTCCTGCCGCCCCCAGCATCCTCTATCATCCATCTGCACGCTTTCTCCCGACCTACTTTCTCCTTCTGTCAGTGCTGCCTCCCCAGCCTGCAGCTCAGGGCTGATGCAGGAGTACCTGCTCAACCGCAGGGGCGGACGCAGTCCTTGCAGCCCCAGTGTCTAGAGGCAGGACTCACCTCCTCCCGTACCCCCCACCAGCTTTTGGCCCTTTGCCGCTGACTCGTGCTCTTCTCTCAGATTTGATAAAGCTTCTGGCACCCCCGCCACCCAGCCGGATCCTGAAGGTTCAGGCCAGAGCCGAAGGAGAGGTCAGGGCTAGGGCACGTTGGCGGGGTAAGCAGAAAAGCTCAGCTGCTCACCCAGATGCTCACACTGTAGAAATGACCTCCATCTAGGAGCCGACTGAGCTCTGGATGCACAAGTTTGTATTCTCTTCATTCAAATACTGGTAATTAATTACAAAAAAGGCAACCTGTGCTTCTAAACCAATCAGGGATTCTAGCATGATGCGTCCAGGCAGCTGAGCTGAGACAGGAATATGAGAGTTTTTCTGAACAAAACTAGTACTACCACGACTATTACTAACAACAATGTCGTCGCCAGTGGGAGATTGTGTAAATGGCCACAATTAGTACCCTCTCTGAATCCACGCCCTTTACAATGTGACTTTGAAGCTCCTCCCATTACAGATGGAGTCTATTTCCCTGCTGCTTGAATCTGGACAGGCCTCTCGACTTGTGTTGGCCAACAGGATGTGGCAAAATGACAACGTGAAGGGCCCAGATTAGCCTGCTGGAGGAGGGGGACCACACAGAGCAGAGATGAACCGTCCCAGCCGAGGTCATCCCAGATCAGCCTAGAGTCCTGCCAAGATCAGCAGAGTTGTGGATGTGACCCACCGCAGGTACACGAGGACATGGTCCCCCAGTTGAGCCCAGCCTGAACTCCTGACTCACAGAAATGTGAGCTAAATACACAGTCTGGTTTTCAGCCACTACATTTTGGAGTAGTTACACAGCAGAAGCTAACTAATAAAAAGATTATTTTTTTGGTAGGGAGGTCAATGACAGGGTCTAGAAAACACAATTAACAACAATCTTTTTTTGTGTGTCATGCAAACAGCATAGCTAAGTCAAAGAGAAACAAGCTGCTTACTATCTGACCACCCAAAATACATCAGTAGGATTTAAAATTATGCATCACATTGCTTAGCCTGCCCAGTACTTCTGTATCGCCCCCTGGACGCTCCTCCCTCTGGCGGAGGCTGCACCACTTACCAGAATCTTGGTGGTGTAGGCGCTGTTGATGGCAATGGCGCTGACCAGCAGCTCCATGGTTTTGGCGTTGATGGAGCTGGGGTCGGGGATCTCCTTGTAATGGACGTCGCCCACGTAAACCTGAACCACCGTCATGCGATTGGTGGTGAGTGTGCCCGTCTTGTCCGAGCAGATGGCCGTGGCATTGCCCATGGTCTCACAGGCGTCCAGGTGGCGGACCAGGTTGTTGTCCTTCATCATTTTCTGGGGGAAGGGGCAGGTGAGATGGCAACAGTGAGGAGAGGGAGCTGGGAGGCAGGGTCACGGTGTAAGCACGCAGGAAATGAGGCAGAGCTGCCCCTTTGCTTCACACATGTGCGAAGGATCTTGCTTGCTACAGCCCCTGTCATCTGGACTCCTTTGCTGTGTGCAGCCCTTTCTCTCTCTCTCTCTCTCTCTCATTTCTTTTTAATTATTTGAGGCATTTAAAAGAGTTGAGTAGTTGACTTTATTAATTTGGATTACAGAAGTAATCTGTATTCTTTATGGAAAAGATAGGGAAAAGGATGATAAATGAAGATTGGGTCCTTTCTGATTACTTCAAATAGTTTCCTCTTACACCCTAACAGAAATAAATTCCTTATTTGGTTATGAGTTTTTTCAAAGGTACCATCTTTCAGTGGTGCTTGGTTTTCACTGTCACTTTGGTTTCACCAAAAGTGAATAAATTTAAGTTATACATATGTTAATAGACATAGGACACTATCTGGAAATAAACAAAATATTAGTGTATTTCTGGGTGGTAGATTTATAGGATTGTTATTGCCTTCTTTTAAAAATCTATAGCTTCTATTTTTCTACAATGAATACATACTATAACTTGTGTAATAAAAGTCACAAATTTCTTTTAAATATAGATACACAAAGAAGAAAGCAAATTAACCATAATTCTACCACCTAGCACTGATACATCTTACGTATCAATATCCTTTCTTTTAAAATTTATGACAAAAATGAAATCCTACTCTACATATTATTAATTTTCTTATATTCACTGTCCTTTCTCTCTTCCCAGCATCACACTCCTAGCTTCTTCCAGGTTCTCAAGCAAATAATGCACATAAAGCGATTCTCAAGGAACCACCACTCTTACTGCAGGCCCTTATGACATAGTGACCCTATCTGGCAAGGACGGATGTGAAAAGGTGCATTTAGCTAAAGGCTGAGTCAGATGTTGTTCTAGTCTGTGCCTAGGAATCTGATTTCCTTTATTCTTGCCCTCATTATAACTCTTTATACCAAGGGTAAAGAAGGAGTGCAATTAGAATAATACTATACTATAGTATCATTATTAGAATAATTATTAGAATAATAATTATAGTAGGTCCTGTTACTAAAGAATGAGTATTGGTAGAATTATGTCCTCTTGCAGTTTCTCTTGTCATAACCTGTGATAATAGTAACAATAAATGGATGTTGAATGGATGTAGGTTGAATGGACGCATGTTGAATGGACGCATTTGGCAACAATTTGAGTTTTTGCAACACACACTTCACAGTTTGTAAACTACTTCCGCCCTTATTTTCTCATCTGATGTCACGAGGATCCTATGAAACCTTCATGGACTCTTGTACTCCATTCTGGCAACCAAAGAAGCCAAGGCAAAGCAGCTTGACCAGGATGACACACCTAGTGAGGGTTAAAGCCGGCATTTGAACGCAGCTCTGTTTAACCTCACAGCCTGGATCATTCCATCAGGACTCTGCCCATCTGGCCTCTGTGAAGAGGGTTCGTCTCTGGGGCTTAAGAATCTATAGGCCTGAGCCTCCCAATATGGTTGCTACGTGAGGCTATTAAGTACTGGAAACAGGGCTGGCCTGATGTGAAATGTGCTATAAGTGTAAATTACACATCCAATTTTGAAGACTTATTATGAAAAGAGAAATGTAAAATACCTCATTAATAACTTGTATATTATCAAATATTACAAGTTGGCTTGATAATAACTTGGACATATTAGCTTAAGTACGTTATTAAAATTAATTTCACCTGTTTCTTTCTGATTTTTCTTTTTAACGTGGCTACCAGGAGATTTAAAATCACACATGCAGCTGACATTATGTCTCTATTGGACAGCGCTGATCTAAGTGGTCACCACTATTCTTTTGATGACGGCTCCCAGGGGCTAGGTCCAGGCTCAGAAAGGGGAGAGTTTGCCCCTCCTGGGTTGGGGGAGCTGTACTAAGTTTACCACGTGACTGTACAAGTAACACTACCTAAGGCACAGGTGCCAGAGATACAAACTACAGGTGTAGAGGCCTAACAATGTCTGTATGGGAAGCCGCGAAACTGAAGCTGTGAGACTTTTAAGGAGACCTCGAGCTCAAGTGGGTGGCTCGTGGGGTCCCGGCTCACGGCAGCAGGAGGTCTCAATCTCCGGGCCCCAGGCCCCCGATCAGCATTGTGCTGTGACCTGTTTGGGCTTTGGTTTGTGGGATGGAGTTTCTTCGAGAACCCCAAAACAAGGAGATGATAAGGGCGGTATCCTTTACACATAGCTGCCACTTTCTGGCACCTGCCCTGAGATCTCTTTTCTGTATGAAATTACATCGGTGAGCCCAGCCCAAATTCCAGCTTGGAAACTGACGCTGATCGTGCCCTCTGGCGGCTCTGCATTCTCGGAGCGAACGCCTTGTTTTTAAACATGGCCTGGCCTCTGCCCTGGCAGGGACATACTGGACTCAGGGCCCTGGAAAACAGGAGCGCAGGGCCCTGCTCTCCGAGGTGGGGAAACCACGGGACCAAGGGAAAATGATGAGGCCAGGATGTGAGGACCTGGGGGGTGAGCCAAGCTTGAAGCGTCCCCAAGAGGGTCAGGCGCCCAGTGCTCATGAGATGCCAGCCCCTTACCCCAGCGTTTGGGCTCTACCGACGGCCATGGGCCTGGGAGCAGAAGGAAGTGGGGCTCTGAGATCAGGGTGGCATTTTGGAGCAACCGCCAGACCCAAGGCATTCATGGGCCTACTTGCCCTTTATTGAACTGCTTTTAAAACTTCATATTTTTAGCCCACCTCCTGAGAGGAGGGGGCTTTTTTTTTTTTTTAAATAATAGAAGCTATTGTCTTTATTTTTTTAATTAAAAAAATTTTATTTTCTTTAAAAAAATTGTATTTATTTGTTTATGGCTGCATTGGGTCTTCGTTGCTGTGAGCGGGCGCTACTCATTTTTTTTTTTTTTTTTTTTTTTTTTTTTTTTGGGTGACCGGGAGCCTCTCCCTGCTGTGGCCCCTCCTGCCACGGAGCACAGGCTCCAGACGCGCAGGCCCAGCGGCCGTGGCTCACGGGCCCACCCGCTCCGCGGCATGTGGGATCCTCCCAGACCGCGACACGAACCTGTGTCCTGCATCGGCAG